CGTGTTTGGAAGGTAAGCCCTGGAAGCCAGAAACCCAGATGTGGCAACCAAACAGCCCTAATGTGGGTTCTGGTTAAGGACCTATATATATATATATATTTATATTTATATTTATATTTATTTATTTATTACACTCAATGAAAATAGACAGACACAATTTTCGATTACAGCACATCTCCTTCGCAGCACTCCGGCCAAGGTCTGACCAAACCGCTGCAGCCTCCAGCAAACGTCTGTGCTCGGGGATTCTCGTTCTGTCAGCAACCTCCTGGTTCAATGGACAACTTGAGGCAACGGCTCAGCATATGGTCGATTCTCCGGACATCCAAGAACCGTCGGACCGTCCTCAAGCCCAATGCATACTCCGAGAGCATCCAGAATCGTCAAAAAGCTTGCGACGCCTCTGTTTCGGTGACCGTCCGTCTCTCAAGGATTGTAAAGCCGTCGTCTGTGGGTGCAACGCCAGTATCCTGGACCTCGAGACAGAAACTGCAAGTTCCCGCTGAACACCTGAGGAAAGCAAGCGCACAGCAGCCTCTTTCCCCAACAGCTTGTTGATGAAGGTGGACTTGCCGGAGGAGTGATTGCCAATCACCAAGACCTGCAAGATGGAAACCTCTTCACATGAGCTTGCGGTGTCCTTTGTGTGGATTCGTTCCAAAGCCCGGACCATCGGCGTAAAAGGAAACGCGTGCATATCGTACCTCTCTCAAGCCAACTCGGAAACACCCGAAAGCAGCTGATGTCAGCCACATTCAGCCACAATGCCATTGCGAGTCCGAGGTGCTCGAAAGGGCGACCAGGGAGCCGAACATCAATCGGAATCAGCACCTCATCCTCTTCAGGTCACGGTGACAGTTTCGTGCATGCCTGACGTGTTGTGTACAGCGGTTGCTGGCATGCGCGAATATACAGAAGCAGCAACCGGAAGTGGTGGCTAGCTGCTAGCTCCCCCCCTGTGCTGCTGCTCTCAAGGACAATACGTGTTCTTTCTCTCTCCCGGCATGGGGACCGATCATTGTGGGGGGCAAGGGGAGTGACAAACGAATGTGGTTCACCAAGAGACAGAAGCCATACAAAGGTTAGCGTACACTCTCCAGGACATTGGAGTCATTCTGCGGGCCTGAAGAAACTTCACGACTCTCCGGAACTCCGCCTCGCTTGCAGACTTGCTTGGAATGCATGGCATGGCAAGGGATGGGCTTGCCCACTGCGCCTCTGCATCCGCTGCTAAGGCCTTTTTGGCCCCTGCCTCGAAGTCCTGCAAATTCCAGAGGAGAGTCCCAAGCGGCAGGTCATGGCAGGACGTTGTCGTGCTCAGAGCTGCATAGTCACAGGCGGGGCAGTCCGGAATCCGGTAGGGTCTTCGCAAACTCGTTCTTTGTCTAGCCTCGGTGTTGATCACGGTTGACTGTGTCTGCTAGCATGAGCCGCAAAAGCCAAGATCCAATCGCAAAATCTGCAGATGGCCAGTAGGACTCCTGAGTATAATCAGCAGGGCTGTGACGCACAAACTTCGAGGACACAAGGTGGTTGCTCGCTCCTGCAATGAAGAAGCCGCCCACCACAATGGTTCGATGAATTTCCGTGGCAGGTGGAGCAGCTGGAGGCTCGGGCACAGGCTCTTCGTGCACCTTGCGCCTGGCGAGCTCTGTCCAGCATCTTTTCATGCTCTGCAAGACCCGGACCTCCCGAATGCCAGCTCGCCACCTCAAGCGCAAGTCCAGTTCTGTTCGGAGTCATATCATGGCGGTCATGGTACTGTCAGCCGAGCCCGTGACCAGACCAAGCTAAAGCTGCCAAACCAGCCAGCTGTACCTGTCGCCAGGATAAAGCAGCCATGCCTCCAGAGAAGCCTGGACTGCTCACCAGCGACGCCCTTGGAGAGGGCCGCCTCCTGCCTGCCATGCAATGCCATGCACTGAAACCAAGTGCATCAAAGTGCAAAAGCCAGATTCGACATCCGGCCTTCGATGCTTCCAATGTCCATCTAGCTATATGCCACTTAACGGTAAAAGCTCTTGCTTGGATGATCTTGTCGTGCAGTGTTTCTCTGCCGTTGACTGCTTTCTTTGCCTGCTTGGCATCGTAAGCATTCTGAGCCATCTGACAGCGTGAACGCAGTTGTCGCATCGACAAAAGCATATCTTTGCAGGGTGTGCCATAATGCGTCGACTCCTCGGAGTCCGGTCGTCGAAGATCCCGATTTCAAAGGCGTTGCCTTCGAACCTGTTACACTGTGCTTGGACAAGGCCCCGGCAGCGTATGACACCTATGCCTCGTGCATGCAGCGCCGCAGCTCCGCGAGAAGAGAGTGCGGAAGCTCAAGCCGACTCAAGCATAGTGCTTTTGAAGGTTTCTGAGAGTGGTGCGGTCATGCACTGCATCGTGGGCGGCATCGCTTGCCGGTCTGGTTGGCCTTACAATGCAATGCTGCAAGGCGATCGGGGCACTTCGCTGATGTGCTCTTCCCCTCTCCTTGCGATGCCCCCGAAGGAACGAAGAGCCTGCTTCTGTGAGAACGGGCGCACGGACAGTTTCCAAAGTCCTTGTGTCAACAAAGCCTTGCAACAGCCCAACACGACATGACATTCTGTACTGACTATGTAACATGCCAAACGTTCTGCTTGCGAAGCTCTCTTCGGATACATTCGCATCACACTAATGACCAATTAGTACTACGAGCATGCACATAGACTTCCCAGTTTCAAGAAACGTCCGTGCGTCGTGCCTAGAGGGGCGAATACTTAAAGGCAACCTGTTTGTTCAACATGTTATGGCTTTCATTGCAGACTCTCAGACTCTCAGCCGGCCTGCCTGGATGCGCTTCGGTTGGAAGCACCTTGATGCTCCTTGGTCATGAATCATATTATCACACAGCATCCTGCAGCATCCCACCAGAAGCCCTTTGCCAGCCTTGGCATTGAAGGCTCGCGGCATCGACCTGCGATCGTTTCAAGGATCATCCGTCGTCGGCGCCGGAGTCGTGTTGGCCAGGCACATGTGTCATAATCAAATTGAGCAGTCTTCTGCAAGATCATCTTGTGTTCATACAGGCTCCAGCATTTTTGGCCAGCTCTCCGCAACAAGTAAATCGAATTCTCTAGTGCTGCTTTGAGCACTTCTCGACTTTTCTGCTTTTAAAGATCTGCTCCCTAGAGTCTGGCTACATGTTCAGACTCCCCGGATTCTCTAGCAGGTGCGTCCGTTGGACCTGGCAGAATGACACTGCTTAGGTTGCTGGGAGAGTTAAGATATGTTTAGCCACGCTGCTACTTACTTCCCTGAAGATGCACTGGAACAAGTGTTTGGGCTCGGGCAAGGTGGGCTTGCCCAGCACCAGATGCCCCCTGCCTAGTGTTAGAAGTGAAGCCGAACTTCCGCTGGCATGTGCACATGTAGTAGTCACCCCGTCACTGTTTAGTGGAACCCAATCCGGTACCACGTAGATGGCTGCGTGTCGCAAGCGTCTGAATTTGGGGGCGTGGCTGAATGCACTGCCTCCCGAAGTTGTGTTCCTCACAGCTTAGCCGGAGTGTGTGTCCGGCTGTCTGTGTAGCTCTCCGGCTGCACATGTACCTAATACAATATACTGCATTATACTATACTTTACTTCCTGGACCTCAATAAACCATAATATATTTGTGCTCTGTTATATTGATATCTTGCATGTTATATTGCGCTCTACTGTAGTATACTACATTGCCTTCAACTCTACTGCCTAATATGTAGTATTGTAAATCATTATCTGACTACTAACCCATATAGTATTGTACTGTTTTGTACTGTCACATTGTATTGTAGTACATTAAACTCCAGCAAAACTACTTGTCTAACTATATTCATGTTCAGTTATCATGTGTTATACTATATAATCTTACGTTATGCGAGAATGTCCTATGTTTATATTTCTTTGTGACATATATGTGTATATATATATACATATACCATGTGTATTTTATCCCCTGTCATGGTATATGGTTTTGTATCATAACATGCAGGATGTACTATATTGTATTGCGTTACATTGTATTGTAGATTTTCGTAACAAAATGCATTATATGATGATATAACACATTGAAGTTATTATATTGTGCTGAATCACACTGTGATATGATGTCGTGTAACTGTAAGATGAAAAACGATTAGGCACGTTGTGCTATTTGATATTATGCTGAACTGTATCGTATTATGATAAACTAGGTTTTGATATTCTATATCAACTTTTTGTACGTAGTCTTATCTAAGATCCTGCTTCTATTCTGGTCTGGTATGTCTTGTTGAGGTCCAACATGTTACAGTATGATGAAATTTGCTCTGTTACTCTATGCCATGTTATGTTTTATTCGACTATTTTATACAACATTCTCATCTTTTCTGCTATGTGGTATTATACCGTTACCGTAGTGTTTTGTAAAAAAAAGTTATGTTGTGTTATCTTGTATTCTTGTTCTAATATAGTAGATTCTGTTGTGTTGTATGAGGCTGTATTATATTCTACTATACTGTGTCATCTTATCCCATCATGTGCTTTACTACTGGCCAATTTAGAATAATGGCATTCTCCAATTTGACTGTAGGTCGAGCCGGGCCGGGTCGCCAATTAAAGAATCCTGAATCAGCTAGTACCAGGGCTGGATTTTGCAGGCAGCGAGACGGGAACAGACCTATTTCATTGAAATAAGCTACTCTTTGGACTCTTTGAGACGATGGTTAGGCAGGGAGTGTAGAACGGAAACAGACCTGTGCCATTGAAACAAGCTCCTTTGGCGCTTTTTGTTTTTGACTTGTCAAGACACCTACTTCATTTGAAACAGGCTCGTGTTGGGCTCTTGAGCTTTGGGATGGGAGACTCGTTTCGGGTGACCTCGGGTGACCTCGCGGGAAAGTGGCCAGTACATTACATTACACCACATGACATTATAGTATACTATACTGTATTATGATGTGATATAAAAAGCAATTCAATATCATATTGTACTTTATACGATACTGTATTTTGATATGATATACCATACCTGTGATACGACGTATGATCTGATGGGTGTTGTCATTGTTATATCATATCGTGCCATATTATATCATATTGCACTTAGTTATATTTATCATATTAAACAATATGTTCACATAGCTTGGTGTACTATATTATGTCATGCTGTATCTTGATGTATTATGTTAGGTACTATGCTGCATTGCATTGATTTGTGGCTTACTACGTTGTATAATATGACATTAAGTCATAAAGATTCGAATGATTTCGAAATGTAGTGTGACTGGTTGTACTATGTTAGCCCATGTGGTGAAGTATTGGATTGTGACACATTTTGCTTTATTATGTTACAATATTAGATCATACTTGGAAAGTATATGTAAGAGCATGTACATTTTTGCCGGTACGTTGCATGTCGATATGTGTACGCCGAACATACACGATGTGCCAATGTCTGTGTGTGCGTGTACAGGTGCATCTATGCACTGTACACACAACCTTATTCAAAATATTTCAGAGTGGTTGCTTGTTCATGTTTGTTCTTTTTGCGGTGATTTGTGCATGCATGCTTACCTTACTTTCTGTCTAACCTCACGAGACACAACAACTCACCCGTACGCGAATTTCGCCTGTGTGCTGTTGTTCTGTATGTGCTCTGTTTGAAAAGTCTGCGTGTGTGTGACTCAACACACTCTGCACGAGGCTAGTCACGGCTAGCAAGCCTGATCATGAAGATTGATCGACAATTCTTCGCCAGAGGTCGAGTTTTACTGCAGAATGGCGAGTGAGCCAGCTCCAGGCGGCATGTCGGGCGCAAACTTGTTGGCTGCAGCCAGTCGTGTTGCTTCTGCAGCACGGCTCAAACAAACCTCTGCAAGTTTCAAACTTTGAAGCACTTCCTGCATCCAAGCACTATGTGGCTTGTTTCAGGGACATGCTTTATCCGCTATGTGAAGCGTTGAAAGCCATTAGCTCAGAGCCGCCATAGGCTTTGCCAATGCGACATGTGAACATTAGCACGAGCTACTATACTATTGCATGTACAGGCTCAAACTGCTCGACTGGACTGGAAGGCACCTCGAGCAGGGATACTGTGCCGTAGAACCGTGGCCAAGCCTTCTAGGAGGTGCCTTGAAGTTGCGAAGCCCACACAGCCCATTGTGTACATTGTGGATCAACAGACCGCCAGCCTAAACAGCTTCTCTGCGCACCTGCCAGAGAAATCGCAAGTATAGTCACGGGCAGTCTTGCCAGCAGTGTCGCGCTGGCAATGCTGGAAGTCCTGGGCTGAGGGCCAGCATTTCTAAGCACCACATGCTTGATTATCTTGATTTTTCAATGCCAAGCAGATGCCAAGTGGCCCTGACTCCAAGCTGGTCGTCCTCAGCTCTGAATGAAGGAACACTGAGCACAGCACTTTAGACCAATTCTGTTCTGAGGTGGTCACTCTCCAGTCGGGTCTTCCGACCTCAAGAGGCTCTTGGTATCTCTTCGTGATTCTCCCCAGGCAAACACCCACAGCCTCCCCGATTTATTCACCCCCCCGGATATCAAAACAGTTGCTGGGCGGGATTGCGTTTGGAGTCCTGGGCAACACCATGCAACTGTAACTCAGGGTGCGCGTAGGGTTGAAAGTTTGGGACCTATACCTATACAAAACAGGTCTTGCACCGGTCTCTAGGTCGGTGAACAAGGCAAGGGCATGGGATTATGAAGGACCATGTCAATGTGCCACAATGTGCCCTTCTGATTCTGATGGATTAGTATGTATGTCCATCTCGATCCCAGCGGCGTAGATGCATTTCGATCAGCAGCGGAGCTTGTAATGCCAGCTGTGGTGCTGGTAGTTTGCGCAACGAATTGCGCTGCAAGTTCTTCAGAAGAGCCGTCCACGGCCGACAGGTTGCCCACAACGCCGACACTAATGCTGTCTTCGCCCAGCGCGGCTGCAAGCTCAGACAGGAAAGGCGAGTTGCCACCCAGGGTCGACAGCCCCACAGCCGCAGAACCGACGCTGGCATCATCTGAGGACATGCCGACCTCCAGCATGATCGCACCCGTTGTTTCAGCAAGTCGCCGGCCTGACTCTCCACCGACCACAGAAATGGAAATCGCACCAGCTGGGAGCAGCGATGCGTTGGCAACCGCTCGTGCCAGAGAATCTTCCGAAGACAAGTCGAATCCACGAGTCAGGCCCTCCAGCCTTAGCGTTTGTCTCAGGCCCACCACGTGCAATGTGCAGTCCTTCACCGGAAGGAAGGAGCCGTGCAAATACGGAGGAGGCCCAGTGTGTTGCCGTGATGTACGGTACTGCCGGCAACCCTCAGCAGAGCTGAATAGACATGACTGGATTCTGAAGGACGGAGCAACGGCCCAGTCCCCTTTCTTGCAGTCGCGATGAAAAGCAGATAGCAAATCCACGTCGTTCTCAACATAGAGGAGGTAGGTCGCAGGGGCATCTGCCCTCGCAAGGCTGAGCTGAAAGTGAAGTTAATGAATTGTGTTCGTGTGTTCGGATTTCTTTGTGCCGCGGTTCCCCAACGGGCCCAACAGATCTGCTCAGTAGGTCAGCGATGACACAATCAGGTTGCAGTTTTTTAGAACATGACAGGACCGTCGAAGACAGCCAGATGTGTCACCGAGCGTCTCTACGATTACAGAGAACAAAGCGCTGTAGTTGCTCGGCACGGCAGCTGGAGCACGCGGACGCAACTCAACGAAGTACTCCTCGCCGGCCTCACTCAAATACACAGAGCGCACAGAGGGCGTGCTTTTCGACACAGAAGGTGGCCTCCAAAGCAGTCGGAACTTGCCAGGAGAACGTGCCGGCCAAAGCATTTTCTGAGCCTGCCACGAGGAGAGCGTTCCGTGATGTGTGAATCGCGGCTCGTATTCAGAGGCAGCGCCTAAATGAACAGGCTCCTTTGAGGCTTCTCCTGGACAGGAGCTTCGTTGCCAGAGGTGGAAGTCCTGAACGAGATGGTGCTGAGAAATCATTGACGAACCTGCATAGCCTTGCTATCGATGACAGCTACAGTCAGGAACTTGACACTCCAACTAAGCCCAAGTCCAAGACAAGCCCAGCTGGCAAACGCTCTGCATCGCCCCAGGTGACTGTATAGCGCTTGCCCCTCACAAGCATAGCTCCTGCGAGAAAGCCAGCTGTACGGGGTGATGGTAATCTTGTTCAAAAGGCTCAGTTGAACTGTAGCAGTCATCGTTTGCTTGAACCAGGTTTTCATCACGGTCGGCAGTAATCAGTAATCGTCCCGGCATGCGCTGTCATGGGAAGCTGTAGTTGCCATCGCAGTGCTTGCTTCCTTGTTGCGGCTGCCAGACAGCGGGTGGTCCAAGGAAGCTGTCGGGTGGAAGACCTACGAGGACGGTGACAAGGCATTCGGACCGAACAGGACTTAAATGCACATGCTGCAAATGCATCCCGCTGCCTCTGCCTGCGGAGTTGGTGGCAACACAGGCTGGGCGGCTCCCTGCAAGCCTGTCCAGGAAGGAATGCACCTCAGGCCGGAAGATGGACTTGCACCGTTGCTGCCATCGTCGACCTGTTGAATCAAAGCTGGAGGTATCAGCACGAGGGAAGCACAGCTGCTGCAGCTGGAGAGGTGGCCGTCGCGGCGTCGTAGTACTCACGGTTGCCCCACTGTCCGTACTTGGACCAAAAGCCAGTGTCGACGAAGTACATGAAGAGAGAAGAGTCTCCGACCTCCTGTTTTGGCAAGGCGGGGAGCAGACTTCAGCAGATCTCCTCCCCGGCTTTTTGATCCCGGTTCGTCCTCCCGGAACATCTCCAGCCACGCTTCCACCGCTTCCTGAAAATCTGGGGAGCGGCCTGTGGCCATGAGCAGCTCAGTGATGGAGCCAATCGCCTTCCACAGGCACTGCCCAGGAGGCCAAAGGCAACAGAGGACCACCCTGCCGCGCCCTGCCGCGCCTGGCCCGTCTCGATGGTCCCGTCCTCAACAAGGCCGACTCCGCCCTCGTAGAAGGCGAGGCCTCTCAGGTGCGGTGCCTCTCCAGAAGTGAGCCCTTCTGCAGCGCCTTGTAGCGCCTTGCCTAGTCCAGCTTCTTCCGCGAGGGCTTTCTGTGCTCGCAGGTGGGAGCGTGCATTCTCTTTGCCCTCCGTGAACAGCCTGATGACTTCAGCAGGAGTGCGGGCCGAGTAGGACTGGTCAATACCACCTGCAGCTGGACACGAGGCTGAAGTATTCATGCCGTGCTTTATGCTAGCTGATGTGGGCTTGATATGTGCGAGATGCATGCTATGATGTTAGCCTGTAGGGCTCATATAACCGGTGATGCCCAGCAGGTCTGCTCCGGCGGCATTGTTTTGTGAGAAGAGATCACGGGTCACGTCTGCCCAAACCTTGAAGGAAGGGCCATGGAATCCGCTCCAGTGTCCGCTCTCCAGTTGCTTCCTGGAGGCTGCTTGAGTCGACAAGACGAATTTCACTCGGCTCCGCTGGCTCGCCCAAACATCAGCCCAGATATCAAAGATCTGCTTGGAGCGGTAGGCCTCAGCAGCTCCACTCCTCACGACCCGCGACAGAGACTCTCATTGCATGGCAAGCTGCATTGTATCTGACGCGAGCGCAGTGAAGCTCGGACGTTCTGCATGTTGAATCCACAAGTCCAAGCGCCACGCCCTCAGGGGTCAAGGTTTCCACTGTGGCCAGAGACTGACAGTAAGGCAACACAAGGCAACAGAACCCGCTCAGGAGCTCTGTTCGTGCACCGGCGCCTTCTCTGTGGCATACCGACCTTGTGGAAACAATGGGTTCCAGACTTCGTTGCTGTGCTCCACGTAAACCTGGACATCTGGGCGCAGATTGGTCAGCCAAAACGTTGCTTCTTGACGGACATAGTCGTCTGATGCAAGGTGGTGGACCGTCACCTGAATCGGTGCAATCTGCCGCTGAATAAGCGCCCAAGAGGAGCGGTGCTTGTCTTGAACAAGATGAATGCAGCCGAGCATCCCATGGAGATGCTCCCAATGTGTTCACTAGCAGTGCCTGGCAAGAGCTGCACTCAAGAGCAGATCTTAGCGGAGTCTGAACAAATGAAATGCCAGAGTCCCGGACCTGGTACTCCAAGGCCACAGGGCCTGTCACTTGCGATCGATGACTGGGCAGAGTGCGGTCCTGGCACGGGCAACGAGCAGAGTTACCACATGCGGTGCATTCAACGATAAACATCGGTATCAATATAAGCGCTTTAACAAACAAACAAGTGCATGTGTATATATATGTATATATATATATTGATATTGTGTATGTATGTATGTATGTATGTATGTGTGTGTGTGTATGTATGTATGTATGTATGTATGTATGTATGTATGTATGTATGTGTGTATCTATGTATGAATGTATGTATGTATGTATGTACGTATGTATGTACGTATGTATGTACGTATGTACTTATGTATGTGTATATATATATATGTATATATATATGTACATGTACATGAGCTATACACTGTACGCATGCCTATCTCCCTATCTGACCTGCATGCATACCTGCCTGCTTACCTGCCTCTACACGCAGAGACAGACAGCCAGCTAGCCAGCCAGCCAGGCAGGGAGGGAGGCAGACAGACAGATGGGCAGGCAGGCCGGTAGGCAGATCAGTGACTCCTAGGTACTTACATACGTGTACATACACATACATACATACATACATACATACATACATGTACATCCATCCATGTCCATCCATCCATCCATCCCTGCCATACATACATGCATACATTACATATGCATACACGTGTACACATATATGATATATGTATATACACATACGTGCACACACCAAAGTGTACACATGAGTACGTACACATAAATAAGTACGTGCATGCGCATGTCCGCCCATGCATGCTTACATGCACACCATGCTTACATGCACACTTACAAACATACGGACACACCGACAGATAAATAGACAGAAAGACAGACGGACAACCAGACGCATGTACGTACGTACATGCAGGTACATGTCTCCTGACTCATCTAGCAACTCTTGTTTTACTTGTTTTGTTTATTTACTGCTGAAGTAGTCTTTATTCATTCGCCCATTCACTCATTGGTTTGTTTTTTGATATTGAGATTTGAACATACATGGTTACATAATTAAGCGGTAGGGGGCGACGAAAAGAGATGTTAGAGCGAGCAAGAAAAGAAAACAACAATCTGACTGAGGCCCTGTCGACCCATTGCCACAGGTCATCTGGCCTCCGGAGAGGATACCAAGAATCCTCCTGCAAATCGACCAATGCTCACAGTAACACTTCTTGTCTCTAAGCCATGCAAATCTGACTGCAGAGCAGGTCAAAGAAGGGAAGAATTTAGACCACACTGTACTTGAAAATATGTTCTCATGTCAATTCTAGAGTCTTGTGTCGGGCACGGGAGTGACTGCCGGGACAAGCGGAACGGCGTGACTCGGAACTTGTAAGTACAGACCCATCCTCCTGGCTGCCGAAGGCTGCTATGCGACGGCGATAATACGTCACAGGCTGCAGAGTGTTTCGTGCGTCGGCCAAGCTCCAAGTGACCCCATCGTCCGACACCTCTAAGCGCCACATCACCTGAGCGAACACGTTTGAGCAAGTTGCTGCTGCAACAGGGGGGGTCGAAGCCAACTTGCATGTGCACCACTCACTCAGGCTCCGCCTTTGCTTGAGAATATCTGCTGATTTAATGATTTGGTGTTTGGAGTCAAGACACCTACCTCTGGGTTGACTTGCTCTTGCTGTCGCTGCTGTTGCTGTTTTTGGTACTGTTGGTGCATCGTACCGCTCTTGTCGTCGTTGTCAATGTCATTGTGGTTGCTGTTGTCGTCGCTGCAGTAGTATCCTGCTCAGGCATTACGCAGGCAGAAACTTGAGACCCGCGGGGAGGTG